GGAGAAAAGTTGAGAGTTAGGTCATGGAAGTTTTACTTAGATTATGTCATAGCACAAATGGGACGTAGGCCCATTGATTCATGATCCACACCGTGATCCTTTCTTGCACCCCTAGAGAGAATTAAGTAAGTCCAATGGGCCTGAAACCAGAGGCCATAGACTTAATCCATAGTATACCCTGTCTTTTTGGCTTGCTCCCCCCTGTTGTTGTTTTTTGTTAGTTTTTTCTTATTGATTTTGATAATTTTTTTTTTATGTTGATGATGGTTTTGATTAATTCTTTTATGAGTGTTTCATTTATTTTTCTCATGATTATTAAAGTTTTATGATTTATTTTGGATTTATTTTTTAAGTTTGTTTTGGATTATGATGGATTACTTTTTAGGACTCGTGGAATCAATCTTTTGTTTTCTTGATTTGCTTTCGGTTATTTTTTTTTCTTTGATGATCTTAATTTTCATAACTTTTCATGAGAGGTTTGTTTTTTTATTAGCCTCTTTATTTTAGTGCTTGATATATCTTGGTTAACTCTCGACGCGAAATTATGTATAACTCTCAATGTCCAAATTATGCTTAATACTTGATAGTAATTTTGACTAAATTCTTGATATTATTAGTCCTCGGGATAAACTGGTGAATGTTTTCATGATATCGATGAATCAATCTTGACATGCCTTATATGTTGAATATTCGACCATAAATCTTAGCTGTAATACTTAATGCTTCTATATGTTCTCCTTTTAATAAAATGTTCACGTGTGTCTGTGTCCCAGGGAAGAACTTGTGTGTGACCTTATAGTCATACACATTACATTCTCATCTGCATCATTTCCACCTTTTCTTGATTCCTGACTCTCTTCAGGTCGATCAGCTTAAATACATCTTTATATCCTTAGGATAGATTCCCTCAGGTTTCAACTCTAGTTAACTTACAATTAAATCCAATTTCTCCCACAAGAGAATTAGACACTAGTCATCTATGTATCCGAGATATAATTCTCCTACCCCATAACATAATCAAGAAATATGTAGATTCTTTTCCGCTTGAGAGAGGTATGTGGCATACTCATCGATTATATATCTGAGTTGGAGCCCTTCTGTCATTGTGAAGCAAAGACCGTCTTCCACCTGTTTGTGGTGGTTTAAGTTGAGTATTCTCTTTAAGATGACGACTTGTCTCTTCTCCTAAAATCAATCAATAAACCTCTCCCTTTGGAACCTTGACCACAGTCAAGAGTTCCTCATCCCTTTAGGGGAACTACGAATGCTCTGATTTCATTCCTCTCAGGATGCGTAGGCACGAGATGCGATGTCTTGGCGAGCATACTTAGAAATAAACCCCTAAGTCTTTCCCTTAGCAGACAATAAAAAATAACACAATAAAACAAGAGGTTCCTTTAGAGTACTACAAATGCCTAGGATGCTAACACCTTTCTTAGATATAACCAACCCCGAACTTTAGACTCTCTAACTTTGCATTGCATACTCATGGGTTATTCGATCTTTTTCCCTTCCCTTGGACAAATTAAAGACCGATGGTGAATAATGATTTGTAATTCAAGTTAATCAATAGCTTGATATCCAATTCTCACCGTGATAGAAATGGCGACTTCACTGGGGAGACTTCGAGGGTTCCCTCTAACTTGTTTAAATTGTGTTTTTGTTGTATATCTATGTATCTGTTTATCTGTATATATATGTTTCTACTTTGAGTTGTTACTTTTGTATGGTGAGATAAGTACTACACCCGGACTTAAGTGCCCTTATGATAGGAACGTGATATATTCTAGGAGGCTTAAAGGGAGTTGATTCCCGACCAAGCTGACTTGAGAAATCCCCACTCAGTTGAGGCTCTCTTGAGAATAGTATTGTTGAATGAGTATTCGTAAAAACACTTACTATTTTTGACCTAGGAGCCAGTGATATTGAGAATCTTTAGTTACCCTTAACCCAACTTGTCTTTCTTAGGGCGTAGTGCGGTGACTATGAGGGAGTAGTCCCAAAATAGTTGATACGCGATACTACACTTAAAAGAGGTTCTCTCGAGAATATTATTAACTATCGAGTATTTGGGAAATTGATAATATACGAAAGATGGGCTGATGACTTTGGGAACCTTTTAGAACCCTTGTTCTATAGGTACAAATAAATCCTTAGTTCACACCATTTGGGATGGGTAGACCCTTACTCTATGCTTGTTGATTTTCAAACCTAGGCCTCTGTTTGTTTGAGTATATATGTGGGTATATGTGGGTCGGTGTTTACCTGTGTTTGTGCATACATGCATTCATAAACATCATTTTCATAAGAGTTTCATGGAATTTAGAGTTTTTGTTTGCAAACATCGTAGGATTATCATGAATTACAAAAGAAAAAATACTTTGAAGTACACTTTCAAGAGTCTTAAGCTGGATGACCTAAGGAAGTTGGGAGCTTTGGTTGAGGATCAAGAAAAGTTCAAAGACAAGTATGAGAAGTTGTTATTATTGTTGAAGACTAAGGTGGACAATGGACTTTCCTCCACATTACTTCAATTTTATGATCCGGTCTATCATTGTTTCACTTTCCGGAATTACTAGCTTGTGCCTACATTGAAGAATATTCTCAGTTGGTTGGTTTGCCTATCCTTGATGCATCTCCCTTCCCTGTTATGGAGAAAGACCCTAAAGAGCAAAACATTGCCAAGACTACACATTTGAGATTATCTGACATTCAAGCTAATATGACTGCTAAAGGTGGAGCCTTTGGGTTAACCACTGATTTTTTATACGAAAAACTCAATATTATGTCGATCATCTGAGTATGGATACATTTGAGGCTATTCTCGCACTACTTATTTACCCAAGTTTTGAAGGTTTTGTTGACATTAATGCTATCAAGGTTTTCATAAAGAAGAATCTGATACCTACCTTTCTAGCAGACGTTTATCATTCAGTTCATCTCAGGAACTTTCATGGTGGAGGAATGATTACGTGTTGTGTACCCTTATTGTACAAGTGGTTTATTTTGCACTTGCCCAAGTCTAACTCCTTTTAGGATATCAATAAAGGTCATTGGTCACAGAAGATTATGGCTCTCACCCACTCGGATATTGATTGGTACAGCCGTGTTTATGGTGGAATAATGATCATTGACAGTTGTAGAGACTTTGCCATCAACCTCTTCTTCAGACCCAATATCAGTCTCACTCTTACTGGTTTTACAGATGCTGATTGGGGCTCGTGCAGCATGACACGGCTGTCCACCACGGGTTTTTGCTTTTACCTCGGCTTCTCCCACTACTATTTTTTTTGCATTTAGTGACCGAATTAGAGACTGAAAAAACCTAAAAATCGATCACTATAACGTTTAGCGACCAATAACGCGACTACTAAATTTCGGTTGGAAATGAAACAAATTTAGTGACCAATTTTAGCGACTGATTTTAGTGACCATTTTTAATTGTTTAAAAAACTTAAAATAAAACAAAAGTTTTATCTATAGCAAAAATCGAACTAATGCACTTTTTTTTGTGATGGTTTTGGGTGTCCACTAAGCCATTTGTTTTTTTTTTTTTTTTTTATGATTTACATTTGAAATGTATATATTATTAATTAAATAGAACTTTCAAATATTATTTAAAAAGATTCTTACACTAATTGTCATTAAAACTATATTTTATCTAAATTAATAAACTTGTATGAGTTAATTATTTATATAAATATATGTTTTATTCGTTAAGTCAATAAAAATGTAAAATTTTGACTAAAAAATTTTAAAAAAATAAAAGGAAAAAATTGAGAGGGAAGCAACTTAATAATGAAAAAAAATAAAAAAATATTAGTGACCGAAATTTCAGTAACTGAATTTTTTTATGAATTAATTTATATAAAAACAATTATTTGAGATGGAAAATTATGGTCACAAAATATCAGTCGCTAAGTCGATGGATAATTTTATTTAGTGACCGATTTAGTGACTTTTAAAATTTTACTAACATAATGTCTAATTTTGGTGGCTAATTCGGTCACTAGAGTGATCGAAATTTTTTAATCCCTAATTCGATCACTAAAAACGAATTTTCTAATAGTGTCCATCATCAGTTGAAAATCAAAGAAGCAACAAGTTATCTCCCGGTCCTCCTCAGATGCCGAATATAGAGCCATTGCCAACACTACATGCGAGGCTCAATGGCTCTTACATCTTCTTCAAGATTTCTCCGCCTCTCAATCAAATCATGTCATCATCTTCTATGACAACCAAGGCGCCATCTACATCGCAATGAATCGGATATTTCATGAGCGAACAAAACACATTGAGATGGATTGTCACCTTGTTAGCGATAAGGTTCAAGACAAAACGGTTCACCTAGAGCACATACAATCATCATTCATCAAAACAAGTTGTCCTTTCAATTCCTTAGTGTCCTCAACAATACATACACTCCAGTTTAAAAGGTGTGTTAAAATATAGGAAAATTAGTTTAATTTCCTTTTTTCTAGCTCGTTGATTTTATTGTTTTTCTGTTGATTTAGCCCGTTGGGTTAGTTTCTATTGTATAGAGTCTATATAAACCATCTTGTATTTTCTATTATTTTTCAATTGAATACAATATTATTTTTTCAGTTCTTCTTCTTTCATTGTGATCATGGGGATCCCAATTCAACACAGCACACTCCTGCACAAACACCTGCTGTTATTTGGGTCATTTAAATAACAGCAAAACACAATGGCCTTTTTATACTTTTTAAATATTTATTCACCAATTATGTATTCCTAGAAAAAACAAGAGAAAAGACTAGACAAAAAACAAAAATGCAAAACACATAACAAAAAATAATTTAAAAAACCACAAAACGGCAAAAAGAGAAGTTAAATGCTCAGAGAAAATACACTAAGATATATTATTAATATTGTAGGATGTATTATTGATGATAGTTAAAACTAGGTCACCATATAAAATTAACAGTACTTGTTCGATAATTATTCAAAACAACACAAGGAGCATAACATAACCAAAATCATTTTCCTGAGCTATCAACCTTGCTAACAAGAAGCTTCAGACCATACTTTGGCATCAACAACATATTATAGACAGGAAAATGCCTATAATTTGGTGAAACCTCAAAGGAGAAGTTATAAACAAGAAGACTAAGTATTATCTTCATTTGCGTAATCGCAAAGTTTTGCCCGAGACAACTTCGACTCCCGAGTCCAAATGGTATATATGCTTGAGGATACTTACAAGCTGCAGAAACACCATTATCAAATCTTTCTGGCTTGAACTCTGTGGCATCTGGACCCCAATTATCAATGTCGCGATGCAGCGACGGAATGAACAACCACGTGAATATGCCTTTAGGAAGCACGAATTCTCCCAACTTCATATCAGCTAAAACTTCCCTAGTCGCAAATACTCCAGGTCCGTAGAGACGTAAACTCTCTTGGATCACAGTTGTTAGCTGCATTAGAAAAATCTTAAAGTTAGCTGTTTTTATATAAATGACATCACACAGAAATAGAAGACAAACGGACAACAAACTGCGCTGCTGCGCTGCTATGTCATTTCAAGATTTTTTAAACATCTAAATAATAGTGTGAATGAATGTACTAAGTACTAACTAACCACTTTCAATTTTTGAAGTTTGCTAGAGTTGTCGAAAAAACGAGGCGAACTGTTATCGAAAGTATCCAAAATTTCAGATCGAACGCGTTGTTGCCATTCGGGATGTAATGCAAGGAGCAACAGTGTCCAAGTAATAGCGAGAGCAGTAGACTCGGAGCCAGCAAAGTATATATTTTTGCAGAGATCTATAATTATCGGATTCTTGTTCTTCCCGACGTCATTTGAATTTGCATCACTTGCAGCACCTTCTAGTATTTTTTGTAATAGATCATTCCGTTTCTCGTTTAAATTGTTCTCTCGGTTTTGCATTTCACGATTATAGACGATGTTCATTACCAACTCGTCGACCTCTTTCTTCAGTCTCCACATCTCTTTGCTTTCCTTAGTGGGAAAGAAACTGTGTATGTATAATAAATATAATAACATTGGTTAACTTAGCATGTATCTCAATTGTTCATATCTCAATGGAACAATGGTTGATTTTTAGTGTAAGTTAATGGAATTTGAAATGACCTTAGGTTTAGAAATCCAAAAAGTATACTAGGCTTTGAAAGTGCAGCCTGCATATCTTTCAATTTTGAAAATATTTGCTTTCCTTGTGTATAATCGCTTCCAAAACAAGCTTTTGAAATGATGTCTTCTGTAAGAATCTTCAGATCAACTTCAATCACTATCTCTGCAATCTTTTCTTTGTTTTCGGTTATGCATCTCTCCCATTTTTTGATAATTGTTAAAGTAGATTCTTCCATAATGTCTATCATGTTCTATATAAAATAAACATCAATCAACATATAGTATATGATATGATGGGATGGGTAACAAATTATACAAATATAGGTCATTTTTGAGGCGTGCAAGACACTTTATCACATATAGATAAATAAGACACCAATTTGTTTTGATAGGTTTGTCCGTCTCATTTAGATCCGTCTTGCAAAAATTTATAAAAAAATAGAACAGAATAGAGCAAACATAGTTAAAGGTGTAAGTCTAAAATCTTACGCTGCTAAAAGAAAATTAAAGCAGGACAGGACGGACCATGGACTTTACACTTTTTAATCTTAAAGATAGTAAAATATTTTCTTAGAATTTGCACCCGCACAAAATTTAGGAAAACAAACATATTAAAGAATACAAACTTAAAATTTTGATCTGCCCTGCAAAATATTACTGACAAAATGAGTGTGTCTTACGGGTTGATCTCATTTTACCACCCATATCTTTACTCTACACAAAACCTCCAAAAACATATGACGAACCTACGAGATAGTATATACTAACCTTAATTTTGGACATGAAAAACTCAGGAACAATAAGATTTCTCTGAAAAGACCATAGTTGTCCATTGGCTCTGAGGATGCCATTTCCAAGCATAGGCATTAATGGTTTGCTTAGATAGGAAGGCCTGCCTAGATCTAGAGACGTGTGCAAGTTTATATCTTTTATCAATTCTGGCTTCCCCACATATAGATGTTGTTTCAGTCCGGTAGAGTATAGATAAACTGAACCTGATCATCATTTTACAAGTTCACCAAAACAACACAACTAATCAAATTAACTAAAATTTAAAACATTTTTCATTATATTATACCTTTTAGAAAAAGTTTAATAACTAAATTAATTGATTAAAAAAGAGAAAAAAACAGACAAAAATCAATTAATTTAGTTATTAAACCATAAGAAAGCCACCAAGTAAAACAACAATAAAACAGACACCACAAACAACAACAAACGGTAGACAACAAAAACTAGACACTAGACTAACAAAAGGAAGACGACACCAACAAATACATTATCCCCAAAAGCAACAGTTCCAAGAGGCATCAATGATTGTCATGTTCGTCTTCCCTTCAACTCAAACCTTTAACAAAATTTACAAAAGAGACTCTTATTCATGTCTTTCTCAAAACTAAAACTAAAAATATACACAAAAAAAAAAAAAAAGAAAAACCGACATACCATAACGTTGTTTCCAGGTTTGGAAATATGGGAACAGGGAATGAATCCATTCCTGATACGGATCAGCAGATGCAGAAGGTTGAGGAAGAATTTGCTGCATCTCAGAAATGTTGCCATAGGGAAAAGATGGCTTTGGTCCTTTGATACCTTGTTTTTCAATAACTGATCTAATCCTTCTTGGCTTCAACAACACTTTCTCCACCAAAATTATAACACTGCTTATCACTATCAACCCAACGGTCCACCATAACTTTCCCATCAGCCACTGGTATTCAAGTTCCATGATATCACTACTCTCAATGTTCCCTCACTTAAGATATTTCCTGAACTGGTGCATGTATGAGTTCAAAATATAGGGAGTAGTGCTATTTTTCATTATTTAAAAAATTAAAATATATTAAAATATATATAAGTAAATATGGAAGAATGTAAATTTGAAATAATTGCCATTTAAAAATATATACATATATAGACACACACCCTTGGATGTACAAATTCAAAATATAGGGTTTAATTCTATTTTTATTATTTTAAAAATAATTAAAATTAAATATTTTTCATAATTGGTTGATAAGAAAACATGGAATGTTTTTCTAAGTAAACATGGAATATTTAATGTTTTTTTTAAATGACTTTTATAGTATAATATAATTTTGTGGAAAAAAATTTACAAAAAGAATATTTTTTGTAAAAACTCCAAATAAAAATTTAATTTAAATAGTTATTTTTAAAATGTGATTTAAATATATCAACATTTTGTCAAAAAAAAATTTTGGACATAAAAATTTAAAAATTCACTCAACTTTAAAGCTATTTTAAATAGTTTTTCATAAAAATCATTTTTGATATATAATTTTTTTTTCAAAAACTATGATTCTAACTATATTTTGATCTTCAATAATATATATTTATGTTATATAATATTAAAATTAATTTTGCAATTTATAAAAAACAAATATAGTTTTTAATATTTTACAAAACAGTTTTACAAAATCCATTTTAAAAAATACAAAAAAAAACATCTATTTTTTTAAAATTAAAACAAACATGCCCTAAATTAAATTAAATTAAATTATAAAAGTAATAATAAATCAACTTACATAGTTACACACAAAACTCACAATTCTCCATGGCTATTGACTCCAACTTCATTAGAAAATCCAGATCATCAGAAAATCTAGATCTAATTTCTATTCTTTCCAAAAAAACAAAAATAGTAAATAATGTTGGAAACACTAAATTTAAGCAGGTGGCTAATGATGTGGAGTTCTTGAATCCCTCTTAGTAAAATATGTTGGAAATGGAGCAAGATAGGCATAAAATAGAAGACAAAAAGGATGATGGAATTATTTTTGATGCTGATGGTTTTTAGAAGGTCAAAGTTAGAACAAGAAATAAGTCTAGCAAAAAGCAAACAACACGAAGCAACTATGCAACAAGGTCACAGCTTGGTAGTGCTCAAAATTCTCCATGAATTTCATTTATTGGAATGTGAGAGGAATATCCAACTCTCCAACAAAATTGGCTTAGAAAAGGTTGATTCAATATAATCATCCTCAGTTTGTTTTCATAGGAGAGCCCTGTATGGATGTACATTCTTTCCCTATCTCTTGGCTTAATAGATTTAACCTTAAACCTTTTGTTGTTTATAGTAGAGGTGATATTTCCCCTAACTTGTGGTGTTTATGTGATAAAAGCATTGATCCTGACATTGTGGACATTGGTGATCTGTTTATCTCTTTCACCTTTAAGTCGAATGAGCAAACTATTGGTATTACGACAGTGTATGCTTCTACTTGTTATATTGCTAGGAGAAACTTGTGGACTGGGTTACATAGAGTGCTAAACCATACTAGTTTACCTTGGTGTTTTATTGGTGATTTCAATACCATTAATGGAGCTCACGAATACAATGGATATTACTCTCCTGCCAGAGGTCCCATGGAGGAGTTTAACGACTCGACAAATTTTAATTGTTTAGTTCATATCCAAACGAGTGATGCTAAATTTACTTGGTCTAATGGTAGATATGGAGCAAGACACACTCATAAGAGACTGGATAGGGCTTTATGTAACTAGAATTAGCTAGATGCTTGCTTGAATACTTCTTGTTCCACCCTTGTTCGAAACAAATCTGGTCATTATCCTCTCTTTCTTAATTTTGATTGTCAGGTGGATAAATTTAGGTCTCGATTTAAATTTCTTCTTGATTGGACTCTACACAAGGATTTCAATAGAGTGGTTGAAGACTCTTGAAACGTTAAAGTCGTGGGTTGCCCTATGTATGTTCTTTCTAAGAAGCTCCAAATTCTCAAAGGAAATCTCAAAGCTTGGAACAAAAATGTTTTTGGGAATGTGCAGGATCATGTTAAGACAGCAGAGAAGGATTTAGGTTGCATTCAGGAGGAAATTTCACAACAGGGATACAACAATGAATTGGTTGTCAAGGAAAGGGAGGCTCAAGCTAAAGTGAATCTGGCTCTTAATTATGAGCAGGCCTTCTGGAAAGAAAAGGCAAGAGTGCAATGTCACACAGAGGGGATCATAATACTAAATTCTTCCACAGAGTTACAAAAATAAAAAATGCTACTAAGGTTATTCACTTCATGAAGTTTGAAGGAGTTACTTATAACAATCTAGAATTTTTTCTTTAAAGAAAGTAGTGCAGCATCTTAGGGCTTTATATGACAATCTTTCTGTTTTGCAGGAAAACAATCTCGTGGAAACTGTCATCCCCAAGCTTGTGACTGATCAAACCAATAATCTTCTCACCATGTTGCCAACTGAACAAGAAATCTATAGTGCCATCTTCAGCCTTAGAAGGGATAGCGCAGCTGGGCCAGAGAGTTTGGACCTATTTTTATATCAACATTTCTAGAAGCTGATCAAGGAGGATGTTATGAATGCAACCTTACAATTTTTCAAGGAGGGTTGGATATCTCCATTCTATAATTCTAACAATATTTCTCTCATTCCTAAGGTCAAGGAAGTTGGTAGTATATAGCATTATAGGCCCATTGCTCTAGCAAATTTCAAATTCAAGATTATTACTAAGGTTCTCGTGGATAAGTTAGCCAAGGTGCTGCCTCACATGATTTCCAATGAGCAGAAGGGTTTCATTGGTGGAAGAAGTATTAAGGATTGCATCAGCTTAATTTCTGAAGTGGCAAATCTGTTACGTATGAAATCTCTTGGTGGGAACATCATGTTGAAAGTTGATATTGCGAAATCGTTTGATACTTTAAGTTTAAATTTTATTCTAAAGATTCTTAAACAGTTTGGCTTACGCGATACTTTCTATTTGTGGATTAAGGTCATTCTCTCCTCGGCTAATGTTTCCATTTCAATTAACTGACAACAACATGATTTTTTCAAGTGTCATCGAGGCGTTAGGCAAGGGGACCCGTTATCCCCTTTGTTGTTTTGTATTTCAGAGGACATTCTCAGTAGAGGTCTCTCCAAGTTAGTTTTTGACAACAAATTGAAACTCATGAATGATTCCAGGAACTTAAATGTTCCTTCTCACACTTCATATGATGATGACATAATTCTATTTTCTCGCGGCCGTACCTCCTCTATTGATGCTATAACAAAGCTGATCCTTCATTATGCTGATTGTTCTAGTCAGGTTTGTAATCTCAATAAGTCAATTACGTATGCGGGTTCGATGAATAAAGAGAAACATACTTTGCTGGAAAACAGGATTGGTTTCTCTTAGGGTTAGCTTCCTTTTATTTACTTGAGAGTCCCTATTTTTAGGGGCAAGACCAAAGCTATTTATTTCTATCTTTTTATGGACAAAATCAAAAGTAAACTTGCTTCCTAGAAAGCAAGCTTACTCTCTATTGCAGGCAGAGTGCACCTTGTTAGGTCGGTAATTCATAGCATGATGATTTATTCAATGATGGTTACTCTTGGACTATTAGCATCATTTAAATGGTGGAAAGATGCGGCAACAACTTTATTTGGAGCTCAGACGTACACAAGCGGAAATTGGTGATAGTTACATGGAAACATTGCTGCAAAGATGTGAAGGAGGGTGTTGCTTTCTTACGTGTTTACTTTTTGATATTGATTTAAAGCAAAGGCGTCACATGCAAGTATACATGTATGCTTGATTGTAGCAAGTGATAAAGTAAAGAGATCGTACCCACAGGGAGTGAAATTGATTTAGCTTTGAACTATAAGTATTCAACCTTTATTTAAAATAAGTATGAGCAAGGTAACAAAATACTAATGGTAATAAGCAGCAAGACGTTCACACAACAACTTAAAATACTAAATAAAAGGGAATAAAATATCAGAGAGAGTGATTGATAAGCTAAGATCCATTAATATATTATTGCTGAAATGTATTCATGATGTGAAGTGTCGTGCCTCAAAAGGGCAGAATGTGATCTAGTGGTGTATCTCTACAACATCAAAGCATGCATAGATAGAGTAAAGGAACAAATTTCTAAGCCTCACTTATAACCCTAAAATACGTTTCGTTTTAATTCTGAAAATCTTTATGGCCTTAGCTTCTTATCTATAAGCAAGCTAGATTAAGTGAATATCTCTATCCTACTTTATTAACCACTCTTGTTATGAAATCCACTCATTGTTGGATCTCTCTCAACAACAAAATTGTACATTTTTCTAAGTTGATCATTTTAAGAAGCAGATGTATATAATAAAAACACAACAGAAAATAAGACATTAATCAACACATCATTTCAATAGAAAAACAACTTTATATTAACTTCACTTTGCTCACCAAACAAGAGTTTAACTCATAATGAGCTAAGTACAAACTACTGGAATGAAACTACAGGAAGACATACTCTTAGAAAAAATATGTAAAAGAAATGACAACCTAATAATAACTTGAAGATCCCTTGTGTTGGATAAACATCAACAGATCTCTTCAGTCACGACAGCTCCAAGCAGTGAATACATGATTAGATGAGAAGAAGAAAACTCTCTAATTCTTTCCTAACCCTCAAAGTGAAATAAAACTAAACTGAAAATAAATATGAGTGTGTGAAAATCTCTAGCTTTCTTTCTTCAACGCGCAAGACTTGCTTTTATAGACTTGAGTATGAGAGTAGAAGTTGATGAGTCTTAGATCATAGGCCTTTGATAAAACTAAGGTTCAGCCCATATCAAATCACTAAAATATCCAGTTGTCCAATCTCCCTTTGTGAGCAAGTTATCCAGTACAGACAACAATGGGGGACAAGGTGTCTTTGGCATGCTGTTGTAGCAGGTAATGACGTAGAGCAGACAGAGAGTGGTTGGGTGCAGGATGCGCTTTTGAAGGTGTGGTCCCCACCATACTATCTTCAAGCTCCTTTTTTTCTTATCTTTATGCTCTAACTCTTTCTTTACACAAATCCTTGTCACGTGTTCCCTAATGATAAAATCCTTCCAAGCTCTTGATGAATTCCTGATAATGAGAATCAACATCTTCTTTTCTTTAATCTTCTTTATTTTCCAGACTCTGTCTTGAGGTTTCATGTCTCAACTTGCCTTTACCAGATTTTCTTTAAAATAAAAACACATAAAAAAACCGTAAAAGAAACACCTAGTGTGCTTAAGGTAAAAACATACTAAAACAAGTAAATTAAAAAAAATCCTAATTAAACTTAAACTAAAATCATAAGAAAAATGGATCACTATGACACACTAAAATAGTGTTATCACCCCCCCCCCCCCCCCAAACTTGAATTATCACATGTCCTCAGGTGATGTGACAGTGAATGACAAAAGAGAATTTCAAAAACAACAAGCTAGGATTGGATGGATGGAGTGGCTTAGCTTTTCACTGGATGAATGGTCTATACATAAAAATAATTGGAATAACTTAGCCTTGTATCAGCCCAAGATATGTCACATACTGAAGTGACTAGATTCCTACTGTCACGTCACCACTCTTCAGAAGAATGAGCTATTTTTTCTTTGTGATTTCAATTTGAGTACTCTTGTAAATTACGTTTTCTTCCTTTTGGGTTTCGGGAGGGAATTCTGTCTTGACTCTTTTATTAACTTTTGACTTCCACATTTTAGATCACACCTTTCCACTTATTTATTTTCTTTTTCTTTTCTATTTTTCTCTTTTTTTTTTTGGCTCAACACTCCATCTTTTCACTCAACGGGATATCACTTGTAATGAGTCCAACTGGATATTTTGATGAAGATGTTGGTCGTTCCTTCAGTTTTAGGCACATGAACTTTTCATTAGTGGTCTTTGCCTTTTTTTTCACACTTTTGTGTGTTTTAATAGTAACATGTGGAGTGTGCTCTTTTTGTGAAAAGTCTATGTCTTTATTGAAGTCAATGCATCCTTCCCATGGTGATTCCTTAAGGTTTCTACTTGCTTCTCAATTTCAAAAAAATAAGTTTCTAAAAAAATATTTTGCTAACTCAACAGACTATTGGAGGCGGGACAAAGGTTATCAGTAACTTATGCAGCAACACACTTGGTCACAACTTGGCTTTGTTTCCAAAAACTCATTAACAGACTCATCACCTAATTTTATTCTAAGCACGAAAAATATAGTTTCCTGAGCCTTGGTTTTTCTTTACTAACTTCTTTGTTATTCCATTAACTAAAAGAAAACTAAACATGCAAACGCAAAACTACGCCCTAGACTAAATCATGCAACATTAAACCAAATTAAAACAAAATTAACTAAACATGATTAAAACTATCATAAATTAGATGGTTTAAAACCCAGGCATCAAACACAGCCTTCAAACACGGTCTCCAAAATTCAACCAACAGTAACAAAGTAGTCCATCAAACTACCCAAGCAAAATACCAACATAGAAAAATATCCAGAAATTTGTAATCTTATCCTAAGCATCCTTTAGAAATATATAGAAAGATAGAAGAGAGAAGGTTAAGCTTTATCCACCTCCCCAAACTTAAAGTAAGGACAGTGTCCTCACTGTCAAGTGATTAGGGGAGGCAGGACTAGGTTTGCCTCTGGATGATACCACTTAGACCTTATGCCTGAAGCTTTTGCGCGCAGGAGGAATATCCTATCTCTTTTTATTTCTGGCCTCCTTCTTAGCAGTGGCCTTTGGCTCTGGCTTTTCAGGTTCCTTGACTTGCTTTTTGACGACTTCAGACACGACAACTTCCTCTTACACTTTCTCCTCCGCAGCAGCTCTAGCATTCTTCTTAGGGATTTTCTTCAGCTCCTTCTTCTTAGGGCTTTTCTTCAGCTTATTCTTCTTAGGGCTAAGCACCTGTTCTTCTGCAATTTCTTCCTCAATAACTGTTGTAGTTGTTTCTTTGACTGGAGTTGTGGCAGGAGTAGCCATAAGGGTGACTACCACTATCTCGCCTTTGTTTGACTCGTTGTCCACTTCCTCATTCTCAAATTTCTCTTCTTCAATTTTATTTTCCTTCCCCTTGTTGGAATCAGGGGAGGAATCTTCGGTGGTTGAGTAGTATCTAGGCAGACTGTCATCTGCAGTCTGGTCTTCACCTGTCTCCTGATCTGCCTTTGTCTCTTCTTTCAGCACTTTTTCTTCTTTATCAATTTCTTCAATGATTTCTTGGTCAATTTCTGCTCCCTTGCTAACATCAA